CCGCCGCTGACCCCGCCCCCAGAAAGCCACGCCCAACTAGCCACGCCCCTCGGCAGCCCCGTCCCCGCTAACCACGCCTCCATTCAGCCCCGCCCCAAAGGCCAATCCTCTTGCAGCTCCGTCCCCGCGGACCACGCCTCCCGGAAGCCCCGCCCAATTTGCCCCGATACTCCCGCCCCCTCTGACCACGACTCCGGAAGCCCCGCCTCGCCGACCGCGCCTCCCGGAAGCCCCGCCCCATGGACCGCGCCTCCCGGAAAAGCCCCGCCACTGTGACCACGCCTCCTCAAAAAAAGCCCCGCCCCATGGACCCAGCCATTCTCCCGCGGGCTATTACTTGTTCAGTCTGCACAGGCCTGACCCTCCCCTTCAAGGCAGCAAGGTTTCATTCTGTGAGCAGCTTGGTCAACACCCAGCAAAACACGGGGTACAGAGGGGCGCTCCCTGAATGCTTCGGGGATTAATACAAAACTATTGACGAAAGCAACCGACCCCCTAGCTGATGCGGCCCACACTATACGGGTGTGTGGGTGGGGGGAGGGGTGTGGCCATAAGATGACTGAAGGGGAAGATTTCATCGTTTTAAAATAGACTTGCCAACCCTCTAATTACATATAAGTGTCTGAAAAGGCCAAAACTGCGTTTGAAAATAAAAACCATTGGAAGTCACTTGCAAATACACTCTACTTCCTTTTCTCCTTTTCGGGGTGGGGGTATGTTGAACATGCCCGTTACAATGATAAAGAAAACCAAAAAACAAAAACACAGCCCTAACTGGTTTGGCTCAGTGGATAGAGCGTCGGCCTGCAGACTCAAGGGTCCCAGGTTCGATTCCGGTCAAGGGCATGGACCTTGGTTGCAGGCACATCCCCAGTAGGAGGTGTGCAGGAGGCAGCTGATCGATGTTTCTAACTCTATCCCTCTCCCTTCCTCTCTAAAAAATCAATATATTAAAAACAAACAAAACAAAAACGAACAAAAAGATTGCCTATCATCCCACAAACCTCCATTCTTCACATTTTCCTGTTACGTGTTCATTCCCTTTGTGTTTTTAAAATATATTTTTATTGATTTGAGAGAGGAAGGGAGAGAGATAGAAACATCAATGATGAGAATCATGGATCAGCTGCCTCCTGCACGCCCCCTACTGGGGATCGAGCCCGCAACCTGGGCATGTGCCCTTGACCAGCATGGAACCCGGGACCTTTGTCCACAGACTGACGCTCTATCCACTGTGGCAAACGGGCTCGGCTGTTCGTTCCCTCTGCATGCACAGCATTTTCCCATCTTTGTGAACTTCACGAAGGGCAATTTTTCGGCCTGGCCCTACATTTTTCTCCTGAACACTTTTCCCTGGGCCAAACAGGCTTCATTCCCGTCATTCTCACCGGCTGAAGAGGCTGCCATGCTGTGAGTGGTGATAGTAATAGAGCAGTGGATGGAGATCTGTGTTGTGTCTTACTGTTGGCGGGGATCTGCAACGTAATTTTGAATTACGTACGCCGTGAGAGTGGGCATCCCTTGGTTTCTCTGTCTTTTTTTTTATAATATATTTTTATTGATTTCAGAGAGGAAGGGAGAGGGAGAGAAACATCAATGATGAGAATCATGGATCGGCTGCCTCCTGCACACTCCCTACTGGGGATCGGCCCGCAACCCAGTCACATATGCCCTGACCAGGAATCGAACCTGGGACCCTTCAGACCACAGGCCGACGCTCTATCCACTTAGCCACACGGGCCAGGGCCCAGCCCTTGCTTTCTGACTTTGAAAGGGAATGAGTTGCCTCTTTTTACAAGGTGCCTGCTTTCTGTGTGGCTGGTTTTACACGGAAACTATCAGTATAAGGAAATTCCTTTCTAGTGCTCGTTTATCACGCGTTTTTAAAACCCACGAATGATTGCTAAATCCTATCAAATACTTTCTCTGAATCTGTTGAGACAGTTCTAATGGATTCTCTCCTGTTTTCATCTGTTCGTGTGATAAATTTACATTTACAGATTCTCATGCTCGGCCACCATGACGTACTAAAGTAGAGCAGACATGTAGTAAGTGGACACATTGAAACCTAGAGCTTTGCATGGTGACAATACTGCTGTTTTACATCATATTTCATGGTTTAAAAAGGATGGTGCCTGGTGAAGCTTGGACACCACAGGGCAAAGGGCTTTTTGAGGGTCTCTCTCACTCCCCAATCCTCCGACTGCTCGGTCTGAATTTACGCGCTCGGTATTTCTTTTCGATTTTTTTCCCCTAGTTAGTTCTCTTTATAGACTCTGGTTGTAGGAACAGGGTGCCTGCGGCCCGCCGGGGCCACCACGCGGGCAGGGCTGGGCTATTCACAGGCCCACCGAGAGGGCTGTACCATGGCGCCTCCCGCCAGCGCTCAGCCAGGGTGGGGTTGGCAGGGGCTGTACACACACATTCGGGGGCTGGGCCTCACTACTGTCAAGGGTGGGGGCTGTAAACATGGCCGGGGGGCCCTGCCCACCCCTAGTGGTCTGTGACTGGACACAGCGCAGCCGGGCAGCTCTGGATCTGGTCCACCCACTGCTGGGCCGACGGCACGTCCTGGGCACAGAAGTTGTAAACACGAAGCGTCGCCTTCCCATCGAAGGCGGCCTTCTCGTCCGCCGTCTTGGGGGCGCCGCGGGTGGGAGTGCCAGACACCATGGCCTCCACCTCTGCCAGGCTGACGACCCCTTTGACTCTGTGTCCACGCGGTGTAGCTGCGCTCCGTTCTTCTCATCCTACCAGAACAGTTCTCCTGGGCCAGTGATGGCGAACCTTTTGAGCTCGGCGTGTCAGCATTTTGAAAAACCCTAACTTAACTCTGGTGCCATGTCACATATAGAAATTTTTGGATATTTGCAACCATAGTAAAACAAAGACTTATATTTTTGGTATTTATTTTATATATTTAAATGCCATTTAACAAAGAAAAATCAACCAAAAAAATGAGCTCGCCATCACTGTCCTATGCTGACTCGGTGTGACCGAGAGCCGAGCAGGGAGGCAGACCAGAGCCAGCAAGTCTGACAGCTCAGCGACAGACGTCCTCGGCTTGAAAGACACGCTGACATCTTCACCGCACAGGCGTGTGCGATCACTGTGGAACGGAAGATCACGCACGGGCAGGTGCGAGCGGAGCAGGAGGGCTCTCGCAGGATGAGTGTGAGGCCGGCGGAACACAGCAGGACGGGGAGTGTGACAACCGCCAGGAGAGGGACAGAAAAGGCAAGCACGCGGGCAGGTCGTGGTTTTGCTTTTTATTTAATCAAAGACTGGTGGGTAAACATAAATACAGCACAATTACTTCAGACCATTCTTCATATCGTGTACACACAGACCGATGAACGCACTCTGAAACCCGCGGTCAGCGATGAAATGCACTCATCTTTTCCTTCCCTCGCTCAAAAAAAAAAAAAAAAAAATTAAAACATACAAACTCTAGGATCTCCCCAGCACACTCTCTCCTGTGACAAATGATTCAGACATAAATAGTGGGTGCAAAGAAACTCTATGCTAACGTATGTAGAACCTTTGTTAAGGAAGAAAACAGAAGCAGCCTTAATGATTCAGATACATTCAGTTACCGATAACTAGCTGTGCCCCGGAGGGCATTATCAAAAGAGGAGTCGTGCTGCAGAGAAAAGCTCTATGTACATACACAATGAGAAAATCAACCGCAAGGTTAACGCATGCATGTTTAATACTGGGGGAGGGGGATAAAGAAATCACAGCCCGCCAAAATTTCTCCACGTTTGTTATAAAAGCCCTCTGCGCTCAACTAAAATGAAAAGGATCTTAAAAGGATAATACTTGTAAAGTTTACTTAAGTCTTCTCAGCCACAGAAACTGCAATGGAAATAAATGTTCAAGAGTCATTTTCAAAACAAAAACAAAAATCTATTCTTCTGGTGACATGCATGATTAAAAGGTCTATGCAAGGGACACTGCTCTACCCGCCCACTGACCAGGAAAAACACCTCAAGTCAATGTTTAGTTTGCAGATGGTCAAAGGATTTTGTATTCCAGCAGGAGCTCAAATCTTCTGGATCTTTTCGCCGACCACCACCGGATTTTCTTTTCGGATTTTCTCAGCAGCGTCGGCTTTGTAATTGTAAGAGCAATTGTGTACATCGGAGTAGCGGTGTACCCCACAGTAAACATTTCCACACCGGCATTCAAACCCTGGAAGGGGGTGAACACACACATCTGAGTCGGGGGCAGGTGGAATCGGGAGCACATTTCAAGTTCAGCACAGACCGCGTGTTCGGGGCGACAGCTAGAGCATCGTTCACAGCCCAAGAGCATTCTCCACGTTCACTAGCTGATCGCTTCAGGTCTGAACCAGAGCACGGCTCTGGGCTCCGCTCCCTCACCTACGACAGGGCCACAACTACCTCCTGTCAAAGCAGGTTGCTAAGTGGAAGATGGGAAACATTTCTTGCATCTAAACTCTGCAATGTGACAACAGGCACACGGTCAGCGGGCAGGCTTACATTTTAACTAAGAAAGACCAACGACCCCTGACAGCTGTTAACAAGTAACAGCGTCCACACAGCTGTCCTTAGCTAACCACCCCGCTCTGCCTCCCGATGGGAAGGGAGCTGAACTTTGGCTGAGCGACTAAGACCAGGGGGTGTAGTCAGGGTGCCCGTGCATGAACCCACTGCTAACGCAGGCCAATTCCTTAGCCGCTCTGGGCCTCAACTGCCATTGTAATTTTGGAATAATAAGTTACTGGAAGGATCAAATGAGGACTGTGCTACTTGACACATAGCAAGCTACTTCGTTCAGGAAAATGCCCAGCGTTGAAGCCAAAAGAGAGATGGAAGGAGAGGGGAAGGTTTGTACACAAAACTGGCCCCGCTCCCCTAATGAGGACTGGATGGTGTGAGAGAATTTCTGGGAATGGAACACAGGATTTTCAACACGGACAATTCCTTTACTACGTTTTTTATACTTTAAAACTATATTCTGGCCCTAACCGGTTTGGCTCAGTGGATAGAGCATCGGCCTGCGGACTGAAGGGTCCCAGGTTCGATTCCGGTCAAGGGCATGTACCTGGGTTGCGGGCACATCCCCAGTAGGGGGTGTGCAGGAGGCAGCTGATTGGTGTTTCTCTCTCATCAATGTTTCTAACTCTCTATCCCTCTCCCTCCCTCTCTGTAAAAAATCAAAAAATATATTAAAAAAAATAAAAATAAAAATTATCATACTCCCCTTAAAAAAAATAAATAAAAAATAAAACTATATTCTGTAGCTTTTTCAGAAGCAGGAATGAAAAGGAAGCCAGCAGCGACCCCAGGCGGACGGACTGGGCCTCCTGTCGGAGTCGGAGGGTTTCTGGGAGTTAGAAGCCTCTACCTGACACTGAATACTGTGTATTTCCTCGTGTCTTCTCTGCGCGTGCTCGGACGGGCCGGTCTTAAACACCTTGGATATGAGACTAACATCTCCTTCCGCTTTCCTCCCACCTGCTCCTCAGCAGGGACACCTTCCTCACACACCGTTCTGTTCAAAACCCGACCCCCGCTCCTCTCAGCTCGTACTGAAGTCAGCACAACGCCGGGCACGGGGCACACAATGGATGTCACTGGTGCAGCTGCAGCTGCTCCCCAATGCACCCCCGTGCACAGCCCTAGCCTCACCTCTGCTCTGCCCGACCCTCACCTGCTCTGCCCGCGGCAACCGTCCCGCTCCTGGCCCCGGAGCCGCCCTGTTCCCTCAGGTGACTCTTTCTGGCTGAAACGCCCGTTTCCCTCAGGGAGGCCCGCTCATCTCTCCAGTCCCAGCTCCCTCCTCTGCCTTCATCACACTGTCCTCCACGGGCCTCTCCTCCTCCTCCTCTTCTTTTTTTTTAAATACTTTTTTATTGATTTCAGAGAGGAAGGGAGAAGGAGAGAAAAACATCCATGATGAGAGAGAATCATGGATCAGCTGCCTCCTGCATGCCCCCTACAGGGGACCGAGTCTGAAACCCGGGCGTGTGCCCTTGACCAGTAATCGAACTCCGGACCCTTCAGTCCGCAGGCCAATGCTCTATCCACTGACCCACACCAGCTAGGGCGCCTCTTCTTTTACATAATAAGTCAGTCACTCCCGTCCCTGAACTCCCAAACCAATCTACGTGATTACGCTTCATGCACTTCCTTTGCTAAATACCCAAGTGGCATCTGGAACACTTTTTCTCCCTCTCCTAACAACAACGCCACCTGACAGCCCTGCTACCATGGTCCACACGGATTGATCCCGTGTTGCGTGGCAGCCCGGGGCGAATCGCCTTACATGTGTTAACACGTGTGAACTCACGGAACCCTCACAGCAACCTACGGTCAGCCCTGTATCCGAAGTCCCTCACAGCTCGCCCGGCTCTGACATGGCCTCTCCATTGCTGGCCCCGAAGGCAGGGGCCACAGCGGCCCTGCCACGGCCTGGCTCACGGACCTAACTTCTCTCACACCCTCAAACTCAGCTGCAACAATCGCTTAAGAGAAAACTATTCACTCCGCTTTTAGGTACGGAATTCAAGCTGCTTTTATTTCTTTATGGAAGCGCAGAAGCTGAGCATGCCCAATGTCACCTCTCCCAGGGACAGACCCGGCCTCGCGGAGGCCAAGAGCAGGGAGCAGGCGTCACTCAACACGCAAGCTGACGTTCGAAGCGTCTGCTCGGAGCCCTTACCGGTAAGTCCCACTTTCTTCCTGCACATGAAACAGCGATTCTTTTTCTGTTTTGGTTTTTCGAGAGATTTGTTCTGCTCTTCGGTCGGCTGCTGGGCCGTATCTGATACTGAAGCTGACAAAAACAGGGGCGGGGGGAGATGCGTTATTCAGGAAGCGGGGGGTCTGGGTGGTCGCTGTCCCCGCCCCCGCCCACCCTGGCTGGTCTGTTACCCAGAGGATAAATGAGGGATTTTGTGACATTAAATTACAAAGCAGTTTATGTAACCCCACCCTTGCTGTTAAACGTATGTAGGTTTATATGTAATGTATGTACACACATGTTCACAGTGACTCCAGAAGGTGTTGTAATTTCTGTATTTTGTGATAATTATGTATTTGACCAATACAAGGTATGCGTGCGTACGTACACGTACGTGTACACACACACGCACATGCACAAGCACACACACACACACACGCACGCACACACACACTACCTGTTACCCTGAGGGAGTGTAGAGAAAACGGCCGGATGCAAACTTGTGAACATGGCTGGGTCAGAACTACAGTGGGGCCTTGACTTACGAGTTTAATTCGTTCCGAGACCGAGCTCGTTAAGGAGCTGGTTAACTCAAATTACTCTATCAACTCAATGCAAAAAATCGGGGGAGAGACAGCTGGTATCTCAAAAAACTCGTTCGTCGGGACACTCGTAAGTCAAGGCCCCACTGTACGTAGGTCCCTAGGGGCCGGGGAGGGAGCTGAAACCAAGACAGTGGACGCGAAGGGTGTTTACAATGTTCGAACGTCTCCCATAAAACCTTTAGGATGCTCACAATGAGATGAAGTGATTACGTTTGATGGCTAAGGTCACACACGGATGCATTTAAGTGGTGACACCAAGGCCAGCTGAACCAGGACCCGCGTCAGATGACTGCCCTGGACCCTGTGACCCTGTCACCTGCCACCACCCACTCGGCCTCCGAGGCGTCACCAGGCGCG